CCAGAATTCCCCAGCCAGCTTGGCTGGCTAGGGAATTCTGGGAGTTGAAGTCCACCCATCTTAAAGTTGCCAAGTTTGAAAAACACTGCCTTGGTCTGTGGTGTGAGTCCTGCCTCTGAAAACTGGGCCGTTTCCAGTAACGTTGCCCCATTATCCCTGGGCTGTTCCCAAAACCAGGCTCCCTTTAGCCTCTCTGTCTTTCCAGCAGCACCTCCTCTGCTTCAGCAGGAGCTAGGCTGTCTGCTCACTCCCAGCCCCTGCCTTACTTTCGATCTCAGGTCCTCCCGGTGTTCGGGAAGTCCCTGAACGGCTGATTGCTTGCGTGCCTTTAGCAAGCTAGCTTACACCATCGCTGGTTATCAGTGCCAGAACGTTATCTTTCAGACCCAGGAACCCCTTCTAGTTCAGGAACCTTCAGAATGTCTTCCTCAGCTTTGGATTATATCTCCCATCTGCCCCAGATGGGCTGTGCTATCTGGGGATGATGAGAGGCACAGTCTCTCTTCCCTGGAAGAAAGCCTGGTGTCAGGCTTTCCCAGGAGGTGAGAAAAATGGCCAGTGGTTTGTTTTTAACTGGATCTCCCTTTCTTCCCTCTTCAGACTCTGGCCAAAGTGGTGGAAGGCTGGAACCAGCACGAGGCCGAGCGGACGGCGGCTCTGCGCAGACTGCAGACCGAGAAGGAGGCTGCCGAGCAGGCGCTGGGGAGGCAAAAAGAGGTGGGTCTTTGGCAGAGCTGGACGGTCATGCCTCCCATCAGCCCCTGCTCTTGAGCATGGGGGACCACCGATCCTCCCCTCTGTTCTTCATAGCTGCCCTGGAGGTCGTTCAGCGCCAGCTGGGCCTCTCCTCCTCTAGCAATGCATGTTGTCTTCTTCTTTAGAAAGTGGCAGAGATGGAAGGACGCCTCCAGCAAGCCTTGTCTGCCCTCAACCGAGAACAGCAGGTGGCCAGCCAGTGCTGCAAGGAGAAGGAGGTCTTGGTAAGAGCTGCCTCCCGGGGGGGACGGTGGGGGCTTATTTTGAGGGTGGCCTGCTTTGGCTCGCATTAAAGGTTTAGCCTGAGGGGTGGAGACAACCGTGGCAATTGGTAAACCAGTGGCCTAGGCATGTCCTGTGAACCCAGCCAGTGATGGTTTATTCAGTAAACCCTGGTTAAGCCTAAACTCTGAGAGCCAGGAATAAGCCTTTCATCCTCCAAGGCAGGGCACCAGCTGCCCAAAGCTGAGTCTCGTTCTGCCCACCAGGAGGAGGAGAAGGCCTGTCTGTTGCGTAGCTTAGACGCAGAGCGTGTCCGTGTGCAGAGCCTGGAAGCTGAGTGGGATCTGGAACGGCGCCAGCAGGACACCCTGCGTGCGACGCTGGAGGAGCAGCAAAGGAGTTGGGCCCAGCGGGAGAGGCAGCTGGAACAGCAGCACCAGGCTGTGCAGGAGGAGAGCCGCGTACATCTTGATAAGGAGAAGGTGAGGGCGCGGGTCTCTTCTCGGTCTGCCTTGTCTGGGTGTTGCTGCCTTCAAAGTCGGAATTTGCTTTGGTTCATAAGGACTCAGCCCACGCTGCTTGTCACTTGCTTGGCCTCCTTGCTCCTTTTCTCTTGCTTCTAGGTGGGTGCAGTACGGAGTTAACCCCCTCTTAGGTCAACTCCCAAGTAGGCTCACTGACCTCTGGGTCTTTTGGTAAAGCGAAAGTCAGTATCCTAAAGCTAAGGGGTTAGGGAGCAAGCCCACAGACCACAGAATCAGCTTCTTTTCTTGCATTCTTTCAATATCACCTTGCGAACACGGCAGCTTTTTCACTCACCTTCTTTCTTCTGCTGCTGTCTCGGTGCTCTTGAGTTTCTTCCAGAACAGACTCCCTAATTCCTGCTCCTGTTCTCAGCCATCCTCTTGCCTCCCTTTATCACTGCAGCTGGGGAAAGCGGCTCCCAGGAGGAGCAGGGGCCACGCCCACCCATTTGAAAGGGTGATGGCCTTTCCTGCCCAGGCTGCCATGGCCCCACCCTGAAAACATGAACTCCTGGGCTGCCGCAGGAAAGGCCTGCTTTGCAATGGAGCTCCAGGCCTGGGAGGAGTTGCAGCTGATGGGGGCTCTCTGTGTGGGCGGAAAACAGCCACCTTCCCAAAGAGTGAGTGGTGGGGTGGCCGGATCTCATCTTGTCCTTTTAAATTGCTTTAGCTTATAAATTGAAGGTGAAGAGACTGGTTAGTCAAACCACTGCAAGTCTGGATTATTAGAGCCATTTCTTGGGTCCTGTGGCTGCCTTTCATATTTTAAGGGTCCTTGTCTCAGCTCTCCTTGGAAAGTTTCTAGTCCTCAGGGATTCAGAGAACTGTTAGAATTTTCTGTTCAAGGGGGAGTTTTGAATGGAAGAGCTTGCCTGTTTGTGATTTACAGCTCCTCCTCAGCGCAGCTTCAAATGGCTTCCTGGGAGTTTTTAAGAAGTTGCTTAAAGAGAACAGCACTCTTCATTGGCTGAGCTGGGTTGTGGGATCTGCACAGAATGTGAAAATATAATGCCAGGTTGTGGGTGTGGGTGTGGATTGGTGTTTGGTACTTCAAGGTGAGCTATTACTGTCACCCTCAACTATCCTGGGTAGGGGCTGGCTGGGGATACTGGGAGCTGTAGCCCAGCGCTTCTGAAAGGGGGAATGTTTGCATAAGGTCTGTTTTCTCCTTGAGTGCAGGAGGCCAGTTAGATTGGCGTACCGATGGATCTGCCTTTGAGGTTGGGGAGGCGATCCACAACGTGCTTCTGCAGGCCTGACCTATAGCCTCTGGTCCTGCGACCTATAGCCTGTCGCCCTTGTGACTGGGGTCGCTCAGGCCTTGGCAGCCTTACCTCCAGTCTTCAAGCCTGAAACGGAGCAGGGCAGGAAAAAGGAAGGAGAGGGTTTTGTTTTATTGGAAGTGACTCCCCCCACCCCCCACCCCCAGCGTGGCAAGGCAAGGCAACTTCTCCTCTCGCTTAGATCAAAGTCAGGGAACTCCTGAATATCTGAAGTAATCCCACTTGTGGTTTTCAGGGATGCTTGTAGTACAGGAGAGCCAGTTTTGGTGTAGAGGTGAAAGCACCAGGCTAGAAACTGGGAGACCGTGAGTTCGAGTCCTGCCTTAGGCACAAAGCCAGCTGGGAGACCTTGGGCCAGTCCCTCCCTCTCAGCCCTGGAAGAAGGAAAGGGCAATGGCAAACTCATCTGAAAATTTGCCCGGAAAACTGCAAAGGCACAAAGATAAGTTATAGTACAGACCAAAGAATATAGACAGAGTTAGGTCAGCCACCTCCTTTCCTAACCCAACATGTTCCTGTGCCTTTAATGTGTCCCTGAATGTAAGATTCAATAGGTATAGCAATGAGGGAAAATCTGCTCCTGTTAAGTGTGCTGTTGCAGCTGTTGGATGGCTTTTATACATTTAAAATCTGAGTAAAAAAGGCAGCATTGGCCTCATGTTGAATTCTGTCATTGGGTGGGACTCAGACAGCTTTGGCATTAAATGTTGCTGAAATTATGTGCTCTTGAAATTCAGGCTGTTACACCTTCTCTCAGGATGCAATTCCAGTGGCATTTAGTGCCCTATTGATAACCCCACAAGCCACTGTTACCTCGTTCTCCAAGATGTGTGGAAATCAATATTTTCTCAAATTATGCTTTTTAGGCTTAGTAATGAGCTTCATCGTGGGTTGCCCCTCAGGGTCACACTAACTCTGGGCCACAGAAAACTCACTTTTCTTTTTCAAGACAGACATAAATAGGTGCAGGAAGAGCCCCCCAGCAGCCTCCCCATCTTGTCCTCTGCTTCTTTCCGTCCTTGTCTAGATGGTGGCCCAGCGGGAAGCTCAGAAGGCAGCGGATGCTCAACGGGTCTTGGCCACGGTGCAGTCAGAGATGCAGGGACTCCAGGGAGAGCTGGAGACTGTGCGCCGAGAGAGAGACACCCTGAAGGTGGAAATGAGTTTGGTGAAGGTAATTGGGTGGAATCTACCATGCACGGATGCTGGTTTGGGACTGAGAAGGGGAGGAATAAATCAGCCTCGGGTGTTTCCCTCCAATTCCTGCTACGTTGTAGGGGAGAAGGCATTTTTACTGAGGGAAAGACACCTTGACCTCAGCACCCCATTTTGCTGCAGCCACTGAGGGACCAACATCCGATCTTGGATGGAACTCATTGCCCTCCTTGCCCTGGGGCTCAGACCTCCTTAATTCACGGGCTCTTGGTTTCACTTGGAAACCAGCAAGATTGGCCTTTGTGGACGCCTTGAGGAGCGGGAGCAGGTCGGATCCTGGGAATGGAAGATAAATGTAGTTCTTCCCTGCCTGTCCCCGTCTCTTTGTAGGCACGTTTTGAGGCCCAGAAGGTCAAGCTGGAGTCGGAGCTGAAGGTGGCGTTGGAACAGCGGGTGACGGAGCGCCTGGCGGAGGTTCATGAGGACGGTTTACGCCAAATGAGTGCCATGCGAGAACAACACAGGTGGAAAGACTTTGCCCATCGCACTCTTTGCCCTAGGGGCCATGGCCTCCCAACACGCGTGATGTTTCTTTGCTCTGCTCCTTCGGTTGGCCTGGTGTTTCATATCCTTTTGAAACTGAGATGGCCATGGTCTCCCTGGAAAGGTCCCCCCGCCCCAAATCTTGCTCTTATTTTCACTAGGGCCTTCTCGTGCATTTCTCCCCTTGCAGCGTTAAGAGGCGTGCTTATTTCTTTTTCAAAACTCCAGGCTCTCAGGGCCAAGGTGGTCCCATCTGTGAATTGGTTAGGTGGTGTACCCAAAGTCGCTCTTTCCTGCCTTTCTGCCTGCAGTTCTCCCCTGCGCACCCTTTGTTATAAAACTTAAATTTGGCGTGCTCTTCATCAGAATTGGAAGAGGCGGCTGCAGGCATGACTAGAAAACTTTGCAGTGTTTTTTGCTGTTAGTTGGGTAGAGTGGCTGCAAGTTGTGGTTCAGCAGCAAAGAAAGCCACAAGCCCCCCTCCCCTCTTTAGATACAGGGTAGTAGAAACGTGTTGAGTATAACGGTGGATGATGCCAGGCTCTAAGGCAGCCTTTCTCAACCTTTTCACCCCGGAGGAACCCTTGAAATAGTTTTCAGGTCTCGGGGAACCCCTGCGTAAAAATGGCCAAGAAATGACTTCACAATACAATTCACTTCTAACCTACACAATCCACTTCTTGTGACATTTACAACAGCAGCAAAGCAGCAGGTTGGCAACTTAGTCGTGGTATGTAAGAATTCCACGATGAGCACTAGCATTGTGCAGTGTGCAGAATTCAAAAAGCAGTGCTTATTTTTTTCAGTCACGACTTCTCGTGGAAGTCCAGTTGAGAATTTTGCTCTAAAGAGAAGGCTTTTTCCCAGGTTCAGATGTTTGGCTAGCCTCTCACTCTGATTGGCTTCAGATCAAAACCCCTTTTTATTTCCCAAGACAGGACCTGAGGTGCCTCGTGCTCCTTCATCAAAGCAAATGGATGATTTATTGTTTTCCCCCTATCCTCTTACCACTCAGATGTTCCTAAGTCTGCAACTGAGCTGTTCCTTATCCAACAGCTCAAGGAGAAAATCTACACATGGTTGCTCAAAACATCTGAATTCAGAATGACGCTATGATGCTGTTTTCCTGCATGTATTCCTTCCGCCCCTTTGCTGCTGTTAATTTGGGGTTCATCTAAAGGCTTTAGAGAAGAGTGGAGGGGGGTTCAAAGCTTTATTTCAAGTATTTATCCCCTGCCCTATCCCCTTTCTACCCAGAAAGGTTTTGAGAGATGCATAAACATCAGTAAAAACAAGGAGTCCATGCTCTGTTGTTTACAGTTTAAGAAGATACAACGCAGCTGGGGGGGAAAAAAACCTCATTTGGGAAATTAACAAGGAACCCTTGCTATGAGCTCCTTTATCTTTTAGGCCTGGATGATGAAACATAGATAATACTAGTGTGCAATCAAAGGTCGCTTGCTAGGCAAAATCTAAAATCTTGTTTTGAGTAAGGAAAAACAACCCTTATTTCCAGAGAAAAAAAATTCCGATTCTTTTAGATGGAAGATAGATTCTCTCACGGCTCATTCGTGGCTACTTTCTGGGATCTGCAAGAGACATTTGCTTTGTGGAAAATCCGCCCCCCCTCCTTTTTCCCCCCCCTTTGCAGGAAGCAGCTGTTGGAACTAAGCAGCCACCACGAGAAAGAGCAGGGCAAACAGCTTGCTCAGTTCAGATCTGACCTGGCGGAGAGGGAGGAGCGACAGAAGCGCCTCGTTCAGGACTACGAGCATAGGTACCCTTCCCAGTGGGGTGCAAAAGCTCTTTACTGAATATGGAGGGATGGACGCATGGGAAAGGAGCTTCTCAAGAGTCTGAGGCCAAAAATGCCTGTTCTTTAAAAACACGAAGGATGAGCGCGCAATTTTGGGGGTAGTTTTACAAGGCTTGGCCACTGTCCTGTATGGTTTTATGCTGGTTCCTGAAGGGATCTGTCTGGATCAAA